TAGATATGCAGTTATGCAATAGGCTTTCTTATGCAGAGAAAGTAAATGGGACGCATTATCATTTAATTTATATTGTTGGACAGCAGGACTTTCTCAAGCTACCTGTTTGAAAGAATAATAAGTTCAAGGATGCAGCTTCTGCTGGCTCCAATATGCATCAGGTTTTTTGAAAATGGAACTGATCAATTTGGAAAAAGAAGTGACTATATATGTGTTTACGGCCGAGGGAATAATCTACCGAAAATATCGCGTTTGTCAAATCCTCGTCTGAATTCATTCCGAGGAGTTTCCTGAAGAACTCAAATAAGCAAAGCCAATTTCACTCACTGCGGCAACTAAAAAACATATAAAGCAACTGCGCATTGCATATTTTTCGCGCTATAGCTAACAACATTTAAATGGTACAATTTTTAAGGAAGCATCTGACGAAAATATTCTGCTATAGCAATAGAAAGAGGGGTTTGAAATGTTTTTTACTATGGTCTTTCAGGACATTTTGGTGTGTGCAAACTTATGTTGCGTTTAGGCAATGCAGCTGCCGTACATTAGCAAAATATCAGAATACTTGCTGGGGAAGTGATTTAGACAATGTAAAACGCCTTCCTCGAACAAAATGACTCTGCAAATATGAATAGTAATTTCTGTAGGGATTTAGCAGGTGGCAGCAGCTAGCCAGCACAAAGGATGCTTAAGCATTTTTACTCCTGCATAGACGAAAACATGTATCCTCACCGGAGCGATCAATTAGAAAAACGACCTCATTGCGTGCGTCAGTGTCGTCCTTAAACTGTGGCAAGAAGTTCACAGTCAGAGAGTCGAGGGCGAGAATTCCGCTTCCAACCTTTAAATCACCTTCCTCGTAGGTGACCATCAATTTGGTCGGATCAGCAAACACGATCTCCATTTCCAGATCGTGGTCAAACTTGAAATCACTTTGCAATGTTATCTAAACATAAAAGTAGCCGTAAACTCACGCACTTAAGAAATACTGAAATTCTTATTTGCTTACAGAATTAAGTAAGTGTTAAGTCTAAAGTCTAAGTCTAAGTGAATAACTTTAAATAAACATAAATATCCCCATTATCTTCGCTTAAAATCACAGGACATTCACAAGAAAGCAAATTCCTAAAAC